AGATTTTAGTGGTTTTCTTGATATTTAATCCTCAATATGTCCCCTTCTTTTACATTACAAAGAGCATTCTATACAGGATCTCAAGCAAACTGGCTTTAAGACCACATTTGAGAAATGATCAGAGTTGAATAGAAAACTAAATGTTGTGGCAAAATTTAACACACAATGTTTTTCTCTGAGGGCAAATCACCAGCCAAAATCTACCCAAGTCAAGGGCAGTAGACAATGAGAGATCTGTGTATGTGAACACAGTACATGCATCTTTGGGTCAGGAATCTAAGCCAATTCTAGGGAGATTTTTGATCATCTGAAATTGTATAAAGACTCCTGGCAGAGGAATTAAATAAATTATCTGTTGAATGAATATATGAAGGTGGAGTTCTTGGGGAAAAGCCTGAGAAATAAATTCTCCCTTATACTTTAAACACAACAATGAAAAATTGATACTACAGTAATTTTTCATCATTGTCGTCCTCATCTCAACATAAGATCTATTCTCTTACCAAATTTCTAAGCATATAATACAGTATTATTATCTATGGGTACTATGCTGTTCAGTGGCTCTCTAGGACATATTCATCTTGTATAACTGAAACTTTGTATTGTACAATTTGACAAATACTATGGGAATCTTTCAAACCACTAATGCCAGCACTGATTTATGGCTAGTATAAGATTTAGAAGAGTTGTATTCTTCTTAGCATACATTTCTCGTAAGATTATAAATCAATACAATCTTTTTGGGTGGCAATTTGGTTATATGTATCAAATATATAAATGCTTATGACCCAGTAATTTCCTTTTTGGAAATGTATCCCTAACAGCAGCTCTTATGTAGCACTTACTATGTGCCAGGAATTATTCAACAACTCAGGGTCACACCTGTGACAAAGTAGAGAATCTAGAATTTGAACTTGGGCTGTGTGGTTCCAAAGCCTCTGTTCTGACAACTTTAGCTGTCATAGTTATGAAGATGTTCACTATGGCATTGTTTATAGCAGGAAAAGTTTAGAAGCAAACTGAATGTCCATCAGTGAGGTGTGAGTTAAATACACAATAGTACATCCATTGATAGGACATAAAGCAGGCATCAAAAATCAAGTTTTAGAACTAACTTGTTTGCATTGACAAACAAGATTATTTGCCTCAGTGGGAGGAGGGAAAAGGTACAAAACAGTGCACATAGCGATTCTAGTCCGTTAAATGTTTCCTTTGGATGGTGAGACTTTAATTTTCTTGGTGCTTTGCTGGATCTTCCAAATTTTCTAAATGAACTTAAATTCCTTTTGTACTCAGAAAAAAATTACTAATAACAGATTAGCACAGCCCTCAAAATACAATGCATCATATGTGTGCTTTAAAGTGTTCTAGTAACCATACTCACACTAACAAAAGTAAAATTAATTTTTAAGTATTTCTTATTTAACCTGTATATCTAAAATATTATCCTTTCAACAAGTAATCAGTATAAAAATATCATTAATGGAATATTTTACTTTTTTGTATTAAGTCTTCAGTCACTTTAGGAAATCTCAGTTTGGTCTAGTCACATTTCAACTGACTGTCATGGACAACACAGCTGTAGATCCTTGACAGATGCTATACTTTCAGATCAAATGTGCCCAAACCATGACTCTGAAACCCTCCAACAACCTTAGTCATCCTATAACCATCTACATCTGTGTCAAGATGCTTCTTTATAGAAAAAAAGAGATGTGCTTGGGAAATAGGTGGATCTCAGTTTGAATCCTCCCTCGAACCCTATCAGCTGTGTGATCTTCAGCAAGTTAATTAACTTCTCTGTGCCTCATTTGACCTGTTCTATAAATGAGGGTGATGCCTATTTTGAGTTGAGTTTGAAATAATGTGTTAAAACACCTAATAACTGGACAACACTGGATAACAGAGATTTTTATTATCTAACTCTTGCCCTTTGTAACCTTCCATATGCCGATAAAGATTAGACTTAGGAGAAGGCAAGACAAGATTCTTAAAACAGAGGTGGTAGGAAATCCCATTTAAAATGGTCGTAGGACTAATTTTTTGGGGTATGTTGAGCCAAGCTGGGGAACTGCACAATAAATATGTTTGTATTTTAAAGGGGGGCTACCTGATGGCAAGGAACATCTTTGCTTCACACAGCTTTCATTAGGCACATATTCAATTCAATCCATTAAACAGATATAGATGACTGAATATGTGCCAGGCATCTTGCTACACAAAGCGGGTTAGAAGTGGGAAATGTAAAAAAAGGATGTGCGTCCTTAACTGAATAGACGAATGAACTAACTAAATAGAGGAGTGAACTAATGAACCAGTGAACATTGTACTTTTACTGATTTTTTTCAACTCGTTTGTCAGTTCTTTTTTTTTGAGTTGCTTATCTATTTCACGTAGATTTTCTTTACTATGTTATTAGGTAGTGGGGTTCCCTCCAAAAGACTCAACTAAAATATGGTGTCTGCTATGACTGAATCTAGGTGAAGGGTATACATATGCTCAACTTTTGTGTTGGTTTCAAACACTTCAAAATAACAAAACTGAATAAAAAGTCACGAACTATAATATTGCATTGTCAGAAAAGTCATGACATATTTTTTTTATGTTTTTCATTGCAAAAATGTGTCATAACTTTTCCGACAACCCAATAGAAGGTGATTATGACATGTAGCAATGGTTTTATAGCATCACTGTTTATAATAAAGATCATCAGAAACTATACAGATTCACCCCAAAGAGGTGAATGACTAAGAAAACTCAGATAATCAAGAGGAAAAAAACACTATATGGCAACCAATTCACATCTGTAGACTTTGCCAATTCATGGAAATATGTAATGAAATAATGTGAATGGGGAAAAATAGATTCCATGATTACAATGGAAATAAATGTGATATACACTGACAAAAATTAAAAATGCATTTGATGAGGTAGGAATATTACTTTCTTTCCTTCTGGATAGGCTGCCTACATTCATAACAAAAAAAGAAAAAAGAAAGAAAAGAAAGTAGCACTTAAGATAAACCCTGTTTGCTAAGCAAACTTATCTCACACCAGAGGGCAGTTCAGCCAGGGAAAATTGCCTACGTATCTAGTGAAAAGAGTGCCAACAAAGAAGCACTCTTTCTGTGCTCATGCTAACATGCAGTTTAACCTATCACTTGGAACCTAATAGCAGATTTGGTATTTTTCTTAATCTGAGTAATTATTCAGAACATACTCAATGCAAACATTTGACCACTACTGTCAGGTTTTATTTTTACATGGTAACTCCTCAGTCCTTTAACTAACCACAGGAGTGCATATAAGGTAAAAAAAAAATAAGTAAAATAAAATTAAGCCTGCTGGATTTCACTATTCTGTGGTCTGATATCATGCAGGATAGATCAAAATAGCTGGTTCACATTAAGAAAGTCCCCAGCTTTTTTTCACAAGCCAAGCACTTTGTGCTCGAAACAAATAAAAGCTTTCCAAATCATTTAGTATTTAAAATTAACAACATCCTCATCATCTTGTGGTTTAAATGATGACTGAACAATAACTCAAGCTAGCTGAATTCAATATTTCCTTTATTAATGTAATTAGTATTCTTGGATCTTTTAAAATTTCTCTTCTCTAGCCTCAGGGGGAAATGATTTGAAAAGGTTGAATACATATGCTGATTCAAGGTATGATTTCTCATATATCAAACCTCTATAATTTTGGATTATAGAGCAACACAGAATAATTCTGGCACAACTCTTTGGCAATGTTGTTTAAAGACAAAGGTACCATTATGCATATAAGCCCAGGATTTCCATTTTGCATTGCATATAAGTAAACTTATGTAATACTTCTTTAAAAACCCTAACCTTAATTTTGGGGGGAAAGAATAAGGGTATGGTAATTAAGAGACTCCCAATTGGCTGAAAAGCTCAGAGCTAAAATCCAGGTAGGGTTCGAACATAATTGTAAAGTGCTGAGATCAAAATTGCATAAGCTTGACAAAACTTTTAAGCATTAAATTTTCTGGTAATCTCTTTGGGGGTAGCAATATAATAAAAGATTACAAAATAGCATCTGATAAAATTATTTCCCTTGTCCCCAAATATCTAAGCCTTGAAGTAGTGATGGGAATACCAATCCTGATGATAAAACTCATCACCTGGGCGATGATGGGCAAAATACTTAATTTCTCTATGATTCAAGTTCCCCATCTATAAAAGTGAGAACTACTTAAGGCAATAAATATATAGCTATGTTTATGCCTAATATATAGTTTCTAAATTAAAACAATAAAGCAATTAAACAATAAATGTGAAAATGCTAGAAGCAGTGCCAATCACTGTTAATGTATATTTATATTTGTCTTATTCAAATGGGTAATTAAAAAAAAACCTTTAACAGTATCAAAGCCATTTTTTTGAATAACGTTAAGCATTTGGGCTAATTATACATGACTCAAATCTTACCAACAGAACTGTACTATTGAAAAGAAACTTGAAAAATGATGGTTTTAGGTAACTTTAAGCCATAGGGCTAATTATACATGACATAGAAATCTCACCAACAGAGCTGCACTATTTTAGTTTAAAAGAGACTTGAAGAAATGATATTAACAGTTCGAATCATATTTAAAGAAGTCAACAAAAAGGGAAACCTGAGAAGGATAAACGGACTTCCTTGGCAGAAGTTTATTTAGAAAAGGAACTAAAATACACACCCCCTGGCAACCAATGTCTGCAAGATCCCAAAAGAACGCCATTAACTCATAGGACTCAATGACACTGAATGACAGCGGAGACATTTAGTAAAACTTAGGTCTTCCTACTACTACTCCCCTGACAAAATAAAACAACACAACACACAAAAGCAAAAAACAACCAACAAGCAAGGTACTGGAGTGCCCGCTTGGAGCCTCTCTGAGCAGCTTCACGCAGAGGGGACACGAAGCGAAGGCATATATAATGAATGAAAGCGAGGACTGGGGGGTTTGGAAAACTGCACGAGACGGACCCTACCTTTCACAGATTTCCCAATACTGTGTAAGTGAGTGATAGAACTGTAGTTTTGGGCAACATTCTTCAAAAACACTTCCATCTCTTCCTGGTGGTGGTAGCTGAAATCCAGCGTAGCTACCAAAGGCAGCAGCAGCCCTAGCCAGAGGCGGGCGAAGTCCATTTTCTAGGGATGAATAAAAATGATAATAAAGCTGAGAACAGACAAGGAAGGTGGCCGCGGGGAGGGCTGGTGTGGACGTTACCAGCTCCTGACACTATCGATCCTTGCTTCCTAAAGAGGTAAAAGTTGGAAGCAACACCTTCGGGAGTTAGCGCAGCCAGAACATCGGCAACCTCGGGTGCCCTCCATCCCGCCACCCGCCGCTCTCTCTCCTCCCCTCGTCTCCACTGCCCGCCGCCGCCCGGCAGCTGCAGCAGCTGCACTCAGCCACACGCGCCCTCGCCCTCACCCCTGCACAGGCGCGCACCTCCATCCACCCGCAGTCTCAGGGCCGGGCCAGTGATTATAGTCCGGCCAGGGGGCGGGAGCACCGAGGCCCCGCCCCCATAGCCTGACTGACGTTCGCCGGCCCACTCAGGCACCGCGAGGTCCCTCCTAGGCGGGGTCGGGACGCGCCGCTCCGGGGCCTCTGCCTCTTTCGCACCTGGGCGATCCGGTTGTCGCTCAGTGCGGGGTTCCAGCGACAGGCCAGGCTGTGCGTGTGGGCGGCCTTCTTAGTCATTGAGCTAGGTTGAAAGTGTGTCCTCACCTCGGCCAGGGCTCCAACCTCTGGTAGGGTCCGGGGCGCTCCAATGAGTGGCACCCGGGCGTTTGTGTGTCCCCAGCTGCAGCAAGTTTGGAGATGTTAAAAAAGTTCGGCAGGGGTCCCGTGCTGGGCGGCGGGACGGGCACCTGGCTCACCTGGAGCCCCCGGGTGCGCTGCGAACTCGGGGCTCGCGGAGTCCCACACCAGCTCTCACGGGTCTCTGCAGCCGGAGTCCCCCGGGACCGCGCTTGCAGCCACCCCAGGCTCCCAGCTGTCCTCTGCAATCGCGCGGGATTTAAGAAAAAAAAGAATGCATGTGTATAAAAGTTTTAAATGCCATCAAGTGTGTAGTCCAGGAAAACCAAGTGTGTAGTCAGGAGTTTTTATATAAATGAGATTTGATTAAATCAGAGCTAAATTTAAAACTGGAAATCACATGGAAGAAAGCAGAGCCCCTGTTTGTAAATCCTGTGCTCCCTCCACCAATACTCTCAATTTCCGTTCTGTCTTCCTAAAATGTTTCTGGAAGGATGGGGTAGTCTGCGTTTACATTGGGGAGAACAAGGACTTCATTTGAACCTGAGAATCAATACACCTATCACATATTACCTGTTAGGGTAATGAGGGACTCGTTTGGAAATCACTGATTTGCAACAACATTCTTCTTCCACAGATTAAAAATAATGATGCCAGGGCCCCACCCCAGACAAATTGCACAGAATTTCTCTCAATGAGGCCCAGGAAAGATATTTTTAAAAAGTGCCTTGAGTGAATCCAATGTGCCTTCAAGAGTTTGCCTGTCCCTTTTTTGTTACAGATAGATACTACGGTAGAACTGAGCTCTTAGGAACCCTAAGGCCTCCTGTGAGTCCCAGGCAGTGCAGCCTAGAGGTTTAAGAGCTAAGACAAGAGCATCACATGATCTGGGTCATTCTGTAAAGTGTTTATTAAAGAAATAATCTAGTTTAATACATCTTCAAGCAGAATTTTCTAAGAATTGGAAAATCTTAATATGACATTATTGGGTTTTCGAGTGAATTTTTTTTTAAAGGTATGCAACATCATATGTTCATTGCAGCATTATTTACAACAGCCAGGATATGGAAGCAACCTAAGATTCCATCGACAGATGATTGGATAAAGAAGATGTTGTCTACATATATACAATGTAATATTACTCTTCCATTTGAAAGAATGAAAGATTATTATTGGCAACAACATGGATGAAGCTGCATTATTTCATTATGCTAAATGAAATAAGTCAGGCAGAGAAAGACAAATACCATGTGATTTCACTTACATGTGGAATCTAAAAAACAAAACAAATCAACAAAACAGAAACAAACTTGTAGATACAGAGAACTGATGGTTGCCAGGTGGGAGGGGCGTGGGGGGCTGGATTAGGAATTAGGCGAAGGAATTAAATACAAATAGGCAGTTATAAAATATCCATGGGGATATAAAGTACAACATAGGGAATATAGTCAGTAATATTGTAATAATGATGTATGGTGTTGGGAGGGCACTAAACTGATTGGGGGATCACTTCATAAGTTATATAATGTCTAACCACTATCTGTACATGAAACTAATATAATGTTGAATATCAACTGTAATTGAAAAATAAAAAATATATATAAATAAAAATATTTATTTTTATAAATATAAATATTTTTATAAAGAATAAAATAAAATGTTCCAACTAAAAAATAATCCATTTAATATTACTTTAAGATGAATGAATATAATTTTCCTTAATATAAATCATTTGCTCTTTTTATAAAGAATCTCCTGGAGCTGGCTGAGTGGCTCAGTTGGTTAAGAGCATGAGCTCTGAGCAACAGGGTTGCCTGTTCAATTCCCACATGGGCCAGTGAGCTACGCCTGAGCTGAGCTGCCACTGGGCTGCCAATAGGTGGCAGGATGGCTCAGCTGGTAAAAGCACATGCTCCTAACAACAAGGTTGCCGGTTGGAATCCTGCATGGAATGGTGGGCTACGCCTACCTGCAGCTAAGATTGAACATGGCACCTTGAGCTGAATGGCCACAAGCTGCCCACGGGTGGCTGGATGGCAACTGGGCTTGGAGCTGAGCTAGCTGCGTCCTCCACAACTAAGATTGAAGAACAACAACTTGGCTGTTCCCCTTCCCCAATTCCCCAACACTGTACCCCTTCCCCAATTTCCCAATAAAATCTTAAAAAAAAATCTCCTGAATTTGTAATTAAATTGAATTGTCATTTAGATTTTTGTAATGGAACTAAACCAATTAAAATTAAATTAGCATAATAGAAAAAAGCCAATTGATTTTTCAGTTAATTCTTCTATACAAACACATCTACCTGTGAAGCTAACTATCTTAGTTCGGGTCCCATGACAAAACACCCTAGACTGGGAACTTAAGCAACAGACACTTTTTACTCACAGTTCTGAAGTCCAAGATCCATAGCACTAACCATATGATATGTATGAATGAATAAATATTTATATTAATTAATTTTAAAAAGGCATGCAACAGTTACTATGCCAAATGTGACTTCTACTAGATGGCTTGAGGAAATTCTCCTTTCACTGCTGTTTACTGAGTTCTGAAAGGAGGGGGAATGGAGTTTGAGGAGATTAGCTAAATTTAGGCAAAGTTACTATAAGGACTGAGAAAGGAAACTGACTAGGAACAAAGTGAAGGATTGTTGATCTGACTTTAGAAATCATACATTTGATATAGAAGCAGTGGCAGTGATATGATTTCCTTTAGTGGTTGTGTGGCTAGAGACTAGAGGCAATGGTGGCTTTATCAATACTGGGATGGGTAGTGCCAGGGTTGTTGCAGAAAAACAAAAGGGCAAGTTTGAAATTACTGCTCTTGGGATTCACACTAGGTAGGAAAGGAAGCAAATTTAGTAGAGAGTCAATCAGAGAATGGAAGTACAGAATACAGAGGATTGAGGGCTGAAGATAGTGTATATTAGGCTGGTGCAAAAGTAATTGCAGTTCCAGACTGACTTTTAAATCAGTATAACTAGGCTCAAACACTACTTTATTAATCAAAATACGAACCATTACAATCAACACATTTTTGCTAATGAGAAAATAGTTTGTTTATTCCTGTAGCATAAAAATCCATCCTTTGGGATTCAATGAACTCTTGGAAAGCATTTTCTGCATCCTGCTGGTTGTGGAAGTGTTTTCCCTGCAAAAAGTTGTCAAGATGCTTGAAGAAGTGGTAGTTGGTTGGCAAGAGGTCAGGTGAATACGGCAGTTGAGGCAAAACTTCATAGCCCAATTCGTTAAACTTTTGAAGCGTTGGTTGTGCGTCGTGCGGTCGAGCGTGGTCATGGAGAAGAATTGGGCCCTTTCTGTTGACCAATGCCAGCTGCAAGCATTGCAGTTTTTGGTGCATCTCATCAATTTGCTGAGCATACTTGTCAGATGTAATGGTTTTCTCCTGGATACAGAAAACTATAGTGGATCAGAACAACAGCAGACTACAAAACAGTGATCACGACCTTTTTTTGGTGCAAGTTTGGCTTTGGGAAGTGCTTTGGAGCTTCTTCTAGGTCCAACCACTGAGCTGGTTATCACCAGTTGTCATATAAAATCCACTTTTAGTCACATGTCACAATCCGATTGAGAAATGGTTTGTTGTTGCGTAGAATAAGAGAAGACACTTCAAAACGGTGATTTGTTTTATTTGCGGTCAGCTCACGAGGCATCCACTTATCGAGCTTTTTCACCTTTCCAATTTGCTTCAAATGCCAAACAACCGTAAAATGGTCCACATTGAATTCTTTGGCAACTTCTCATGTAGTTGTAAGAGGATCAGCTTCGATGATTGCTCTCTATTGGTCATTGTCAACTTCCAATGGCTGGCCACTATGCTCCTCATCTTCAAGGCTCTTGTCTCCTTTGCAAAACTTCTTGAACCACTACTGCACTGTACATTTGTTAGCAGTTCCTGAGCCAAATGCGCTGTTGATGTTGCGAGTTGTCTTGCTGCTTTATGACTCATTTTGAACTCGAATAAAAAAATGGCTTGAATTTGCTTTTTGTCTAAAATCATTTCCATGGTCTAAAATACATATAAAATAAACAGCAAGTAATACGTCATTAGCAAAAAAAATCATAAAGCAATAAATGTGCATTAAAATGATGTATAACATAACCACATTTATTTAAGAATGCATTCTAATATCAAAGGCAAATTTCAACAATGCAAAAACCGCGATTACTTTTGCACCGAACTAATAGAACCGAGACTCAAAGTGTGGCCCAGAGACAGTACTGACATCACCTGAGAGCTTGTTGGAATGCAGACTCCCTTGTCTCACTTCTGTAAAATGGGGATAATCATATTATCAATGATTTGGGGTTCATGGTTGTAGGGATCTTATAGGGTTGCATATTGAGTTGAGAGCTTTCTTTCTCTTTCCTTATTAAGTTGAGAACTTTCACCCTTTCACTTAAAGGAAGCACTTAACACGTCCTTTTTGGCATATCCGAATTGCCAGCATCACTACTCTTGTGCTTTGGAGCCATTATTAAGTGAAAATAAGGGTTAGTTGGACACAAGGACTGTGACACTGCAACCATCCATTTGATAACGGAGACAGCTACTAAATGACTAATGGATACGGTGGACGAAGGGATGGTTCATGTCCAGCGTGGGACCCAGAGGGACAGTGCGAGATTTCATCACACTACTCAGAATGGCACACAATTTAAAGCGTATGAATTGTTTATTTCTGGAAT